GTTTTCTGGCGCTATGCATGGTTTTCAGGGTTCTGCGCCTGCCGATGACATCATACGGCAATCCCACTCTTTTTCAGTTCTATAGGTTTTGGAAAGAGTTTAAAAGTTTTGTTGTTAAATTTGTGTTTCTTACTGCCTGAATGTTTTTGAGCGTGTTAACATAACTTCCGTAAGTCGTACATCCAGCCAATCACCTAGTGTGATGTCATTAACAGGCGCAGGACCCCAAAGACGCTAGACCCGCTCCTTTAGTACTTAAGACCTTATTTTAATGGGTATATGGTAAAAAGTCATTAATAATTTTTAACAACTGGACATAATTGTATTCTTTTTCAACAACATTTTGATGGATATTTCAAAAGTAAATGGTACAAGATCGTCTGTTAAGTTCCTAAGCAGTGGATTATTTTTGTAAATTATAGCACACCACAGAACCGCCAGACAAATCAAACCAAACATCATCTAATCTCAATTAAAAAATAGATTCTTGGTCATTTCCTGAACCTGGAACCTCTTTTTAACATCTGTGTTACAACAGTTACCGTTGATGGCATCACCAGAGAGCATATGGCCATTTTCATGTCAAAAAAGCATTTTCCTTCTACTTACTTTAATTTCTCCTCATATCACATGATGAAGTTCCACGCTAATCCTGAGAGGAGACTCTTTTGTCCAGAGAGGACATCCTGTTTGATTCGGCAACAGGATAAACTTCCAGTTTTTTATCAACTTATCTCTTTGTCCTTTTCGTATTCATGCAAAGGTCGTGTTTAAGTTCATCCAAAGTCTGAGCGTTGTCACGTTAAACACTCACAGGAGAACAGAGGTTATTTTTGCTCCTCACAATCAAAACACGCTTGTTCTGCAAACAGTCCCTCACCAAACTGAATTTAGGATTAGAAACAGTTGCACGGCTCTGAAGCAGTTGCTTCTTCCTTTAGAAACGTTTTTCAGAGCAGACTTCTGCACATGTTCCTCCTTTAGATCACGTCAGAAGTTGTGTTAAAACCAGGTCAAAGTATAAACCTGAAATCACCAGGGGGGCTTTCCACAGATTTGTTCATAATCTCATTATTTTAGCTGTCTGAGTTTTACCTGATTGTGTCAAATTATGTTGCAAGAATGACCCTTTTGATTCTTATGAAGTAGGATTGTTCTACTACACCAACTCAGCTGCTTCATCATGTGAAACAGGGAAATTCGAGTTTCCTCTGAAAGCTTGGTTTACGTTCAGAAATCTTTAAGTGCACAAACTAAATGGTGTTTGAGATGTGACTTCTGCAGCACCTCACTAGGATAAGATCAATTTCGGTTCATGTTCTCAATAAAAGCAAACAGCTTTGGATCTGTGCTGCAACCTAATCCAAAAGATCTTGGTTGGGTTGTTTTAGTCCGACGTCCTGGTGAACAACAAGCCGCAGGGTTAGACTCAAATGGGCAAAACACAGCAGGTGTGAAAACAAACACCCAAAGTATCTGGGTTAAATTAGGCCCAAGGTGGTAGTTCAACTGCAGGTTTATGAGGAGGCAGGTGTTGGAAGAGTTTTAGGTCTCCAGTTTGGATTTAGACAAATCGATGAGAATCCTTCAAGTCACCATCAAATACAAGCACAACAGGAGATATAAGGTAATGAATAGGAGCACAAAATACAGCCTAGTACTATGTACCTGGTACCCACTGGTTAATACCTGTTACTTACAAGGTATATACAGGTGTATGAACAGGTTTCTTAAGGTGGTGAATAAATTGTACTTGCAGCCTTTAAAAAGCTTGTAAATAAGGGTCATGCACAGGGCAACAAGTCACATCATAATACAGCCCAGTTCCTCCAAGTGTCTTACTAGGAAATTACTCCATAAATATCCCCAAATACCCTATAAGTACCTTTAGGTGTCCCTTAGCATTAACCCTATGAATGCCCCAAATTTTTGCTATACCTGAAACCCCTGGAGGAACCTAATCATGCAAATACTTCCAAATACCCTGAAATTACCTCCAAACGTAGTTTTTACAGACAGGGCTGTGTTGCAACTAAATTCATTTTTTCTATAGAACTTAAGATTCACAGCTTTTAAGATGAAAAAAGACACACACACACACACACACACACACACACACACACACACACACACACACACACACACAAAACGTATGGAGTGATTTAAGCTTATGAATGTCCGGCATCCCAAATGGATGAATTAATTAAAGTGCCTTTTCCTACTCTTTGTTCTTTAAGATCCCAGGGTGGAGGCTGGTTTTGTCCCGAGAACTGAGCTCCAACATAACAAGGTGATTTAAATGTTAAATGCTGAAGAGTACTTTCCAATAACTCGTCATCATAAAGTTTCTCTGACTTCAGACCATCCAGTTCCTGAGGACACCTCAGAACCAGAAACGGCACATCTGTTTTTAACTATGTTGCAGTGTGACACCCGTGTTGATTTTAGCACCAGATTGTTGTATACTTCGGTTTTGTACATTTTGTTTCCAAACCGCGCGCGCGCGCTTTCTGAGGAAACGTCTCCAGGGCCCCTTTAGAAGAAGTGGGAGTGGATTCCCTGAAAAATCATCTGCGGTTCTTCGAAAGAGAAACACGGAGTTGGGATCGGCTCAGCTGCTACTAACACTCGAGCCGAGGAAAAAGTCTCTGACCTGTCAGCTAATGGGTCTGCTCGGGTCATCGCTGCCTGGACGTGAAGAGGTCCCGGAGCGCAGGAGCCGAGAGGAGATGGTTCATTCTTATTAGAATAAAAGAAAAAGTCCCATTATAACCCGCCAGTTCAACTCTGGCTCCTACAAGAGACTCCACTCTGATTTTTTCTTCCCTTGGATGGGAAATAAAGAAATCCTTGTTTTTCCAGATCAGGAGCCAAAAACACGCAGCAGCGCACAAAGAAAACGGCCTAAACCAGATTCATGATAATAAAGCAGAAGCTGTGCAAAAGCAAGATAAGTTACTTACGCATGAACTCCAGACAAGCGAGACATTTCCCCAGCGCCAGAACCGAGCCCTGTGTGGCCATTTCTCAGACGGAACCGTAACAGGCGCTGCAGAACTTCTCAACTCTAAATGTTCCGGTTTGAGTTTTTCATGCCTGTCCTGTCCCGGCAGCCCAGTCCGTGCGCACCAGAGTCCCCGCAGCAGCCTCACTCAGCCGCGTCCCAGCCCACTGATCCAGCAAGAAACTGGGTCAACATCAGTCCGTGTCGGGGTGTCTGTGGTCCCGCCGCCTGGGGATTGGTTATTCTGTGTGTGCTCGGTCAGCGGTGGGCACCGGGCCTGGGGAGGTGGGGCGGGGAGCGCAAGAGATGGAGCAAAGAAAAGAAAGAATGGCACACGGAGACCTAGTTTAGGAGGGGAGAGGCCCTCGGGAGAGCTCACATGAGGAGTTCAGGAGGGTTCATCTCTCTCACGTTCACTGGAGGAATGCAGTGGAGCCAAACCCAGCTGCAGGGTCTCCACCAACATCAACCACGCTTCGTTTTGTTTCTCCTGTTGATACTGTTTAAAGAAACCAATATCGAATGTAAAATCACATCATTGGTGCCTTGCGACACGAAGGATGCTGGTTCGATTTCCAGTTGCAGCATCTCTGCAGTGCCAGGGACGGATCCGGGGGTTGAGAACAGGGGCTGGGGGCTTTAGACAAAGAGGCTAAAAATTACATCAGTAATTTCTATTCTTTTGCTGAATTTCACTTCTGTATTTCAACCTAAAATGCTCTTATGTCCGAAGAGATACAGTAATCTCTCGCGCTGTAACGTGATTCACCTTCATAGCCTTGGAGATTATTTTGTGCAATTTTGCATGCTTTTTTTACGGTGCATTGTTTTCTGCATCCAAATGTACAAAAAGTTTGAACTTTGAGTGTTTAAATAAGTGTGAAAATGTTATTCTACGGAGGAGAGCGGCTGTGTCGGCTGGAGCGCATCAGTATATTCAGCGCTGCGTCTTTATATGCATGGAGACGCGAGTCCCTACGACGACGAGAGACTTGCAGCTAGAGACTGAAACACTGGAGCTCCCTCAGACGCTAGTGAGAAATGAGCAGTTTAGAAGATGAGTGATTGTACGACGTGAGTCAAGCTGCCACAGATAACCAGTAGCAAACACAAAAATGGCATTGATTTCTTTTACAGCTAAAAATTTGGCTCAGGATAGTTAAGCAGCATTCCCCAAGTCCATTCCAAGAAAAACACATTATGAGTGATTCCAGCTCTGAAGCAGTTTCTGATCTCACTGGTTAAAGATGGCCACCAGAGCTAAAAAAAAAAAAAAAAAAACACACAAAAATGGCTGCAACCTGTCATTTCAGCAGATGTAGAGCTACATGTCGTAGAAGCTGTTCACACCGTGTTTTTGTCAGATTACCACAACTTTATTACAATATAACATGGTATCACTAACTTTTTTTTGCATGGACAGAAGCTCTACGTAGTTATAAATTACACAAAGCATTAAGATTAAAGGGATACTTAGCAATTTTTTCGTATTTTTAAATCTTTTTTTGAGCCAGTATGTGTTAAAATGACCCTCTACAGGGTTAAGGAAAGGCCACCCAGCCCCCTTCACCCTCTGTGGCCAGAATGTTGCATTTGCAACATCACAGTTGATGGTCCAGTCTGTTGGGACTTAGAAAGAATTGGGCTGACCAACTTGGCGCTGCTGTCTGGCTTCAGCACATTTCCTGCATGTTTTTGATCAAGAACACAGCTTAGTGATGATTCACTCCTCTAGACACTTGGGAACGCAGGGAGAGATTTCAGCTGTTAGATTAAGGCATTATAAAGAAACACCCAGCGAGAAGATAGGTTTTGGTTTTCACTTCTACAAACGGACACTAGGGGGTGCTAAAAGCAAGAATAACTGCCTACCATCCCTTTAAGACAAAAACATGAGCCCCATTCCTAACTCATCAGATGCCTGAGAAACTTCAGACGTCTACCACCTCATTTTGATTCCTTTAAATGATCACTGCAGAACAGACAGGACACAAGGTCAGCATCAGTTTATTTTATTGTTCAATGCATGGCCACACACATATACTGGTTTTCCTCTGCAATGTGCATGATGGGACAGTCACTATGGAGATGGTGATGTAGATAGGATACATTTTAGGAGTTTACACAGGTCCAAACACAATCCACATTCCTCAGGAAAGGGTCAGCTGATCCTTTATCTACTAATTACAACATGAAGCCAGTCAGCTTCTACCCACCTGCGACACTTGATAAATAGATTCTGGATTAGCATCTTTTGGGTTTGTTCAGTCTGACACACACTGACCTCGTCCCTTTTCCTTTAAACATTCTTGCATCTATCATTCAGATTCAGCTTACAAAAAGCTAAATAAACATCAGGGTACAAAAATAAAATCCAAATTAATATCTTCAAACAGGACAACACCTGTAATGTTTTCTTTTCTCAGATAGAAACAGCACAATACATAAGTCACTGGTCACAAAAGTACACCACAAATAAAGAAAAACAAATGAAAATTAAATAAAAAAGCCACAAAGAAAACAAACCGATCCCGTAGAAACGTACTTCCGGCTTCCTCAACCCTTCCTTCAACCCTTTGAGCTACAAGGTGCCTGGTTTGTTTTTGATTGATGAAAGCCTCAAGTGTCAGGCAGTCAGTGCGGGTTCCCGCTGTCAGACGTCATGTTACACCCGTGACCTTACACAGTACCACTCTGGCTTTTGACCCTATTTTTGAAAAGTAGACTGAGGAAAAGGGAACTGAAATCCAAACTGCTGCTCTAAATATCTATATGGATTCATCTGAACGTGAGTGTTTGTGTGCAGTTTCAACACAAATGTACTCGTTTCCTAACATTTACAGTGTATTCCTGGTTAGAGGTGAACCAGGGGCACTTGAATTTTGGTAGCGTTGTCCCACTGCTTCCTCCCTCCGACCACTAGGGGTCACTCTTTATGTTTGGGAACTGTGATGTGGGAGATCTGCTGTTTCTTATAGCAAAGTTTTTCGCCCGCGTTTCTCTAATTTTTAAATTTGACTCCACTGGATTTCCTCGTCCAGCCCTCTGAGCTTTAACTCCACGATTCAGCTTTCTTTTGAGTTGTTTTGTTGCCTTGGAGACGCAGATACACACAGAGCGAGAGTAGGAGAGATAGAGGGAGCGAGTGTTGTTATCCATCAGCTGTTTGCAGCACTGACAGCCGCCCCCTTTTGGACTGTCAGCCGATCTCCTTCCACTGACGGTAAAACTCCACAATATTTTTCAGCTCCATGCCCGCCAAGGTCGCCGCTTGGACTGCCGACTGGCAGAGAGAGGAACAGCACGCATTAATGAGTGCCAACCATAAGACAGGAAAACAAAACGAGCATCACTTTGAATTTGTGTTTCTCAGTCAATTAAATGCAGTCAGAATGAGATGCTAACCTTAATAATCCAAAAACCTGCAAAATATTGTGCTGCAGTAAAAAGAAATTTTAAATGTACCAGCTAATAAGGACATGCAGTAGCAGAAGATTAGGTGGATTTCAGAAACGTAAAAAAAGAAAAAGAAGCTAAAATTAAACCCCAGAAGCTGGTGAAAGTAACACAGCGAGACTCACCTTCATCGATGCTGAACGAGAGCGAAGCTCTTCTACTTCATGGCCCGTTAAGATGGTCACCATACCGGCTGTGTCTTCATCTCCGTTGCTCTGGGAGACCGATAGCTGACGACAACTGTCCACCATCTTATAAAGATGCCTGAAAAGGGAAAACAAAGGATGAGAAAAGTCAAAATAGAGCTAATTTCCTTCCAGTGACAGAGTTTAACAAAGAGACGCTCACCAAGCTTCAATGTCCAGCCGTTTTACTTTATCTCTTTCAAAACTGCGACCTGACTCCTTCTGGCAGCGGATGTACCTATGGAAACATGTTTGTCAGCGTCATTTAAAAAAGGAACATTTTCCTTCATTCAACTAAGTCAGGGGTCGGCAACCTGTTCCCATCAAAGAGCCATTATTACCCGTTTCCCACAGTAAACACTGGGAGCCACAGCAGCCACGGCGTTGTGGGCGGGGCCTACCCTCAGACAGCAGAGAGCTGCTTTAACCAATCACAACAGGTGACAGCAGCCAGTACCGGTCGCTCGTGTACGTCAAAGTTATCTTTCAGACGATAATCAATAAAATGATTTATATGAAATGGATCCAGAAGTTGTAGCCCGTCTCTGCCTACAATATTTAGATATTTTTCACCCTGTTGGTGGTTTTACTGAGCAGGTGCCACTTTTGTCATACGTTTCTTTTTAAAAGATGTTTAGACTGTTCAGAATACAAATCCAGGCTCTGTCACATTTGATTGTTGTAATTAAACTTTGTAAGTGGGGAAGGTCAGAAAAGGATCCGATCATTTGGTTTTTCCCTCATTTACAGTGACGGAGATAACGGCAGTGCGCCTGGCTCTGGTGTTAATCAAGTTTAATTTGATCTCTTTGCAACAATTTTCACAAGAAAACAAAACAGTTAAAAGCAGGGCTTGTGTTGACCGGATAGTTCCCGTATTTGGCCGTTTATGTTGACGGAGAAAGAATAGAAAGAATTACCCCGACGCATGCAGACGAACTGACATTTTATTCGTTTCGCACATCGCAGATGTAGCTAAATCACTCAAGAAAAGATTTCCTTCTGAACATCTGAGCTGGACAATGCTTAGCGCTGCTCACTGTCAGCGCGTACGTACGGTGCACAGCGAGCTGAAGATGTGGAGAGGGGCTTGGAGCGCGTTGCAGAACCAGAGCGCATGCAGGAAGATTCCTCCGACTGAAACGAGACTTGTCACTTAGAAAAAGTTCCCTGATTATGAAACTTTGGCTGAATAGCACTTGTTCCTGTCTCCAATGTGGCGACACATCCAGGAGCCGTCTGAGGAGAATCCCAGAATCTCACATCCTCTTCAACTCAGAAAGCGCATATGATTACGCCCAAGCGTGACGCGTCAACCCGGTCTCACAGTAAGACCGGGTTGGAATTGTTCAGGTTTACGCAGACAATCTTTACATTTAGAATTGGCATACAGGTGTAAAATTAATACAGTAAAATATAAAGCGTTTTATTTAAATATCCATTCATTATTTTACAAGCAGAGAGAGCCGCATCAGATGGATGGAAGAGCCGCATGCGGCTCCAGAGCCGCGGGTTGCCGACCCCCGAACTAAGTGAAGATTGGTCAGCATAGACACTGAAGAGTAGAAGCTGCACAGAATGCTACTGCCTACGGCGGCCGCATTTGCAGGGTCTACTTCTATGGTTAACAATATGTTTTAGCTAAGGCTTTAGCTCCATGGATATGTGGATCACACTTTAATGTTTAGGCAAAATATGAGCGAGTTCAGTTAGACAGAACAATATTCTGACTCTTGAAAAAAACAGCAAAAATGCTCAAAAATGCTTTCTGATCAGGAAACAGCTGGCAGTGAATGAGTTAATGGGATTTTTAGTTTTAGGATGCGTTTTTTATTTATTTTGGTTTCTTGTATCTGTTATTCTTTTATGCTTGGCCAGCACTTTATTTAATCATTACGGCCATGTGAAGGAGCTTTATAAATAACATGTGAGTCATAGTGGATGTATTTACCCATTAAATTAGCATTAGAAAAGAATAGTCTCTATTAATCCCACAGTGGAGAAATTCACTCATTACAGCAGAACATACACTTAGACAAAAGGAAGAAGAAAATAACAAGATTACAGGTGAACCCACAAAGCTATTACTGTAACCTTCAACCACTAAAACCAACAAAGAAAACTTGGTTTCCAGAGCTATAAGGGACACAAACATACTAACGTACATCTGGTATTATACACGTACTGAACAAATACTGAATATTGCATTGATGTTATTGTGTACCGGGATAATGCCAGTACCAGTTAAACCGAGGAGTTATACACTCACTGCTGAGGAGATGAATGACCTACGGTAGTGTTGTGTTCTACATCTTAGGTGTCTCACTCTGCCTCTACATGTTTATTTATTTATTTTACCAAGCAAAAAAATAAATAAATAAAACTTACTGGTTTGAGTGATATATGACCCACCCACATAGAGTTACATTATTTCAAATGAATTCATATTACAAATAAAATTGCCTGTATGACAACTGAGATAAGGAGGTTTGACTTAAGTGTTTGTCAATACTTGACAATAAAAAAATATTATTTATTTTTATTTATTCATATTGAGATACACAGCATACATCAGAATTCAGCTAAAGGTTTTGGTCTGCATTGTCCAGCCCTAGTCATAAATTGTTATAAACGATAGAATACGAGTTAAATCCATTTTGTTCCAGACATTTCCACCGCCACCTCGTCCTCCTTCAGATCCTGAGACTTTTGTAACACATCTAAATGAAAATCTGAAGCGCATTTTTACTGTAAGTCTGAAAAACGCCTTATTATTTATATGCAGGGGGGTGGGGCATATAACACTTGCTGGAACAAGCCATCAGGTTGAGCACAACTTCGGATTTAGCTTCTTCTTCTGGGTTCTCTCCAGATATTTGTAGTTTTTACGATGGAAACTTACCTGTTGCCTTTGCGAAATTCTGACTCCAGAAAGCGGATGCCATCCCGGGCACCAGCATTCTCTTTTTTCAGCCTGTCAAGTCCGTCAATCACTAAAACATAAAGAGAGAAAACTTTATTCTTTAATCCATTTAGTGACACATTAAAGATTTCACGTTTATTCTAGAATCTAACTTCCAGACTAATCTTTAAAGCTACAACGTTCCCAACAGATTTTAGGATTCCACCCTTGTGTGAAGCACTGACCCGTCCGTGGGATGATGACGATGAAGCAGCCGCTGCCAGCCAGCTGCCGGATGAGACTGAGATGCTGGCAGAGGGCAGCAGCATCTGGTACCAGGTAGGGAGACATGGACGACTGAGCTTTAGGCTGCTGAAGGCTGCCCTCTAGCTGCGACACCTCCAACTGCAGGAGCAGCACAGAAAACAGATGAAAACTCAGGATTAACGCTGGGTAAACACGGAGCTCAGGACAACAGAAGGTGAATGGGTGAGAATCAACCAGCTGAGTGTAAAGAGTCAATGTGAGTTAGAAGACAGACCTGCAGTCGGAGCTGCGCCATGTCCCTCATTAACCGATTACGACGAGCCTCCTCTTCAGCCTGGGCCATCGACACAAGTAAAGGTGTATCACATCATTTTAGACCAACAAAGACAAAACAAGGATGCTGGTTCTGATGAGCTGGGAACCACTCACCATCCTGAACTGGGCCTTGGCCTGCTGCACCAGGTTCTCCTGTTCAGCCTGGCCGATGCTGGTGAAGATTCCCACCTCAGGGTTGAAGTGTAGAACATTGCCTTGGAGATTTGTTAAGAAGTGCCCAAAACTACGAATGCAACAAACTCGCACAACACACTGGACGAAAAGAGGAGAGAAAAGTTGGTTTTTACTAAATCAGTTTATATTTCTTATCTTAACAGATGTTTTCATCTGTTTTTCTAAATAATCTGATTGTACCTTGAGCTTATTTCTTAGTTTTGAGTGTTTCTGAGCCATCCTCCTCACTCTGTACTTGTGAGATGAGTACAGAACAGTTTTTACACAAGACCTAACACTACAGATGGTCAAGATGATTTTATGCCGCTTTTGCGATCTTTGAGTCAAATTGAATCACTGATTAGTCAAATATTTATTACTGAAACGCTGAAGATAATCTGACTTTTAAACCTATAAGGGTTCAAAATGTGTAAATCTCCATTTTCCATCATCTAAAATAAGGGAAACAATGTGATGCACGGCATGAGTAAATTAAAGCTTTTAGTCAAGATAATCTGCAGATTATTCTAAAAAATGTTTTTTTATAAAATACATAAAAAGAAGAACGGACAAATTTTAGATAAAATTCTGAAAGCTAACCAGCTACATGACCCGGTAATCTGCACAGGAAAGAAAATTCTTTACCCCCCCCCCCCCCCACACACACACACAAAGCAATGCAGACAGATGCTGTGAAAACACCACCGACCCCCCCGCCTTCGGATTGGTGGACTTCAGCCTGGCGAGGTCATCAACCTGCAGGTGTCAATATGCTCTGCGCTCCTCCCAAGATCTCCCTCCCACCTGTGGCTACAGTGGCTGAGCGCCATAGGGCTGCTCTCGCTGGGGAAACAGGATCCCAGCCCCCCCGCCCTGCCGGGAGTAACTCTAGTATGTCTTTTTATCCCTCCCCCAATTTATCCTCATGTAATCCCCTTTTCATCTAATTAACGGTAGCGCGACTCTTGTTGCGAATGACCACAGTACCAATTCTTCTGTACTGAAACAATTGCCCCTCAGGGATGATTAAAGTTTTTTTTTAATTGAATTGAATTGAATTAATCTGCACAGGAAAGAAAATTCTTTTAAGTATTTGATCTGTTTTTAATTCCCACTAAACCCTAAAGCTCCCTCCTGTGTGTTTGGGTGTGTTTTTCTATGTTCGTACCTCCTGAAGGGAACTGAGGGCGGAGTTCTGGTGAGTACAATCAAGGCGGCGGTGAGCGGCGCCGAGAGCAGGCAGGTGTCTCAGAGCCACGTCCTCGGGCAGCAGCAGACTCTGGATCAAACCTGGCTGTTCGCATGCCTTCAGCATCTCTGTCACCTCTGCATTCAGGCCAAGACCTGCAAACAAACACACACGAATAAAGTCACTACAGACACAGCTGTTAGAAGTGTAAATATCGTCAAATATTCAGTGACAGAACAGTTTTTCTGTTAGTGCAGCAGATTGGAATAGAAACATTTAATACAGAAGTTATTCATGTCCTATTATTACTGATTAGGTTTATGTTATGTCATTTTGTCTTCATGCATTGGTGAGTAAATTTTGTGCATTTCTTCTTTATGCTCACTTGAAACGATATGTAGGGTAACCTGGTATCGTCATTAACAGCAGAATATGGAACTCCCTTCGGGTCGTGCTAAACAAATATACCAAATATGTCTTTGAGCGTTTTTTTTTTTAAATGGAAAGTTCTGAAATCTAAGGAAGAGGATTAGGGCCAGAGAAAAAAATAATTCTGACCCATTTCTCAGAATTCATATTTTTCACTTAGGAGGAAAAAAGTCAGAATTATTATTTATTATTATTATTTTTTTACTTTTTAGTGGCACTAACCATCTTTTATAGGAAGCCAACCGTCATTTAGACAGATTGTAATTCACATCAGGAGGAGAAAATCAACAAGGCCTCTCAAGACGGCAAACTCTACAACCCTAGCTCATCCTCGGGTCAACACACTGCCTCAAACCGGTAACGGGGGCCTGAAAAGAACGACTCACCAGCCTCCAGCAGCTTGCTGCCATCGGGTAGCAGGTTTAGCAGAACCGACAGACGGTTCCACAAACTCTGAGAACTCTGAGGAGAAAAGTATCACCGTTTGTCAAAAACCAACATCAAAGTCCTGACTTCAGGTTGAACTCCGCGTCCCCTCACCTGTGCACACATGAGGATGATGTCTGTGTTTGTCCTCAGCCAATCAACAAAGACCTTCACCACCTGCATCAAGCCCTGATTGGTCAGGATCTCCAGCTTCTCCAAGAGGGTTTTCTCACTGCGTGCGGACTGAGTGCTGCGTTGACTTCCTTCTGAGTCAGAGTCCGTGTCTGCTGGTAAAAAGGAAACAAACATAACATGCACACAGAAGGTCTAAGTCAGAGTCTAGAACCAGACCCGTTCTGTCGAAATCAGATGAAATAAAATCATAGAAAGAAGCGGGGTCATGTGATGTTCCAGTACCATTGTCGTTGGTTCCATTGGCGGTACCGGAGCTCATGTCACAATGCAACTCCACAGGAGGTGGCGGCGTCTCTTGAGAGGGGGGAGCAGAGGTGTCCGTGGGGGTGGGAATTACCGAGGAAGCGGAAGCTTGAGGCCTCAGGAGCATGTTGCTGAAAGTCGGAGCCAGACGGAAGCAGCGCTTAGCCTGGAAGAGCTGAGAGGACATGGCCTGGAGGTTGCTGCTGATGCTAGAGTCGCTCAACGTGAGCGGTCCGTTGGAGGCTGGAGGCATCTCGCCGTCCCTCTCGCCACCTTTAGGTTGATCTTCATCTTCGTCCTCTTCCTGGTTCTCCCGGGCCGTACCCTCCATGTTTTCTGAATTTTCTGTGTCCTCAATGTCCTCCAGGTCTGATCGAGATTCCTGGCTGTTCATGTCGGAATCAGTCTCAACATCGAAAGCTGTTCCTCCTTCCTCCTCCTCTTCCTCTGAGCCACTCACCCAGCTACCTCCTTCACCAAGAGGCTCTATCTTTGTCTCCTTCTTGACAGACGAAGGATTAAGCGGTTCTTCCAACGTGGTACCTCCTGTGGAATTAGCCCGGCCCCTCCCTTCTACTTCATCCTCATCTTCTTCGCTCTCAAATCCTTCGCTCAGATCGCTCTCGTCTTCGCCCAGCCCGCCTTTGCGAGCACAACGACGCCGGCGGAGTCGAGAAAGGCGAGTGTACTTCTTCTTCTGCCTCTGTTTCTCCTCATCCATCCTATGCTGGTCGTCCTCACTGCTGAGCTTTTTGCCTCCGACTCGCTCACAGCCTCCTCCTTCCTTGTCCTCCCCCTCCTCCTCCTGCTGCTTCAGGGAGCCATTTTCCAGAAGCCTCTCCTCCGAGTGGTCTGTGGGAGGAGCCGACACATCTTGAACCTCCAGGTCATCTAGAATAAACCATTGTTTAGATGTTTATCTTCAATAAAAAAAAAACTCCTCAAGTATGTTGCAGACGACGGTAAAGTGAGATCATCTCTGGCGTGAACCATCACCTGCAGCATCAGTGTGAAGCGGCGGCACTTGGCTCTCTCCTTCCTCGAGTCCGGCTTGTAGCCGGATGTTGACGTGGTTCACCAGGTGGGAGAACAGGGCCAGAGTGAAAGCTATGGATGCGCTGTACTGCTTTGAGCCTTCAGAAACAAGCCCAGCAGCAGTTTCATGTTAAAATTACACAAAGCACATTTCGTTTTCTCTATTATTTCTGTAATCTCAATTAGATTAGGATTCTTCAGCGATTTAAAATTAAGAGTTTTTCATAAACTGTGTTCAACGACTCATCAGATATTTGCCAACAGGCAAAAAGGGCTAACTCCGACAGCTAATGCTAACATTTTAAGCAGAAACTCTTCACAAAAGGTAGTGCTAATGTGTTAGCGCCGCCTCTCAATGAATGATAAGCGACCCACACTTGTATAGCGCCTCTCAGAGTAAGGACTCCAATGCGCTTTACACTACAGTATATCATTCATCCATTCACACACACATTCACACACTGATGGTGATGAGCTACGATGTAGCCACAGCTGCTCTGGGGCGCACTGACAGAGGCGAGGCTGCCGAGCACAGGCGCCACCGGTCCCTCCGACCACCACCAGCAGGCAAGGTGGGTTAAGTGTCTTGCCCAAGGACACAACAGCAGAATTCTCTGTCCGGAGTCGGGATCGAACCTGCAACCTTCCGATTACTGGACAACCCGCTCAACCTGTCGAGCTACTGCTGCCCCCAGTCTAAGTGACTGGTAGCAAATTTGAACTCAACACCTGTAAAAAAAACTACATTCTGTCAGCTGTGGTGGCCATCTTGAATTGAAGATGTACGTATAAAGATTGGTTATTATGGGATGTTTCACCAACAAGCACACAGACCTTTCGATGCCTGCTGATAACTAAAGAAAACAGACCTTTACTCCTGATGACGTCAGAGGGTTTTACACCCACTAAAGTTCTGCTCGGTGGATTAGGTCTACAGCTAAGATGTATTTTTATGCTACATGAGTGGGACGGAAAGTTGGATCTGTGATGATGAAAAACTTGGCTCATCAAATTTGATCCCCTTAACCCGTTGCTGCAGAATTAACAGTAAGAACCAAACATGTGGATGCTCCTCTTAAATTTGCAGCAAACAAATAAATAAATAAATGAGTATCTGGGTATTAAACCAGTGAACCCATCTAAAATTTTTACGTATGATTAAACCGCATTCGTTTGTTCGATGTGCATCTGGGACAAACCAACCTTTTACGGATTTATAAATGTGGAAATCCTGAAAAACAAACCTCCTCTCTTGAGGCTGTGCACCACCATCAGGCATGTAACCACCATTTTGAAGATCAGGTTGTCGGGCAGAACAGGATAGGAGTTGTCAGCATGCTGCTGCTCCTCCTCTTCCTCGCTGGGGCAGTGATGATGAGTGCTTCCATGTGTTGGAGGCGGGAGGTAGAACAGGACCAGGTTGAAGTCCTCCAGCACAGACTGGCAGAGTGACGTCAGCTCCGTCTCCATCAGACTTCATCGCAGGAGGAAGAGGAGACAATTCAGAGTTAAAATCCTTTATGGAAATGGTTAAAACTGCTGAGGAGCAGGAAGGTCGGCTCACCTGTTCTTGGGCTGCAGGAGACTCTGGAGGTACATGAAGCTCACCAGGAGGCGCTTAATGTCTTTGGATCTGGATTGGGACACATTAAAGAGGAAAGTAGGTTTCATCTCTGAAGGCAAAGGTTAAAGGTGCATTATGTAGAAGTGAAGTAACAATGACATCCTGTTGCAAAATTTGGTTACTGCAACCACTTTAAACAATTCTGGAGATTTTGCTGGCCGTCATATTACAATTGCTGGCGCTGCAGTATTAGCTTGCAGCAGACACAGCAACCCCACACTCACTGATGGTAAACAGTTGATACTTCACTCCTTCCATCGTTTTGAAAGGAGAAAAACCAACAATCCCAACTGGATATGAAATGTTTCAGTATAACCTTCCTTCCAAAATGACTGAAACATTAGACTCTTTGGGATATATTCTTACATACTGCACCTTAAAAAATGGAATTAGAGATTCTGAACATGAAAGTCAATGAAACGTAAAACTGTAGATCTTGAAGGACCTATAAGAATTTTTATTTATTTATTTTTTTAAACTTTTTGGTGTCTAAAATGGTTTTTAATATGAAGGCTCTGCAGCTGATTGGTCTGTGAATCTTCCTAACCTTTGCCGAGACGGAGACAGCTTCTTCATTTCCTGCTTCTTGACTTGGTGGTACATCTTGGCAGCTTTGTCGAACAGCCGTTTGAGGTTGCCGTAGGCACCCTCAAACGGAGTATCTGATTGGATGCTACACAGAAATTAAATACATCTCTTTAGATGTTATGAGAACAGGCTAAATTCCTAACAACGTTAGGGTTGGTTCCTCACCAGCGCAGGTAGTAGTAGGTCGCTTCAACGTTGTAGAAGTTGCTCCCGGCCAGTGTTCCCAGTTGGTTAAAAGGCATTCCTGTGGAAAGGTGTACAAATTAATGGCTGGGTGAGTTATGATTTATTATTGATGCTACATAATGTAGTCTAGAAGCTACAGGTGAAACTGGAAAAAGTAGAATATGGTGAAAAAGTCTTTAATTACAGTAATGTTCAATCTGAATTTTCCACCTGAAAATCATGTGATGGGTCCCGATTTTCAATCATGAGATCAGATCTGAGCATCCCAATCCATAAACCCCCTCCCCCAATCTCTGACAAACACCCCCTGAAACAGGAGTGCCAGAGTTTTATTCATTTATACAAGAGACCCCAGCAAATTTGCTGAAAAAACGAGAAAATGAAAGCTTTAAACAGGAAAACTCAGCCAAAGTTCTTGGTGCCCGACTGTTGAAAAGAGCAGCAGAGTTTCACATAAACATTAGCCTATGATCACTCACCTACGTGTGGCATAACAGACAGGGCTTGATGGTAAAACCGCTCTGCCAGGTGCTCAGTCTCCACCCCAGCAAGTTCATTCTGGTAGCGAACTGAGGAGAAAACCAGTAAACAAATAAACAGACAAAGCAGAACGAGCATTCATTCGATTATTTAAGTAACAAGAACAGTTAGATCAATTAATTCTAAATGACTCATTGTTCAGACTAACTAATAAACATCAAAGTCTAAAAGGAGCAAACGGCCTTTTCTCAGTTATCCGATGGGACCAAGCCAAATTTCACTACGCTGAATGACACAAGCTGTCTCACGCCTCCATTAATTTGGTAGAGAAGGAATTATTAACATGTTATTACCCAGATCTCCAAGGTAGACCAGACATCGATGACAGGCCATCTGAGCCCACTCCATCTCTTTAGGCGAGGCTGACACAGGTTTTTTTCGGCCTGTTGATACAATTAGTGATCAGATCTTTTCTGGGGGTGAGTTATGAGAGGAAACTTAAAAACTGTTACGTATTCATGTTTATACACTGCCTGTCCCAAAAAATGCCACAATCTGGATTTAACTAAGCTAATAGGTATGAGGCTCCTACTGGATAATTACTGCATGGGTGATTATCTTTCAGCTGCATGAAGTTATTTAACCCCAACTAGTGCAAATAGTTGCTTCTCAACAAGATAAAGACACATCTGGTGGTCGTGGAAAAGATGTTAGTCTGTGTGAGAAGGGTCAGATCAGTGGCATGCATCAAGCAGAGGAAACATCTAAGGAGATAGCAGAAACGACTAAAACTGGATTAAGAACTTGCTGATGAGTCAGAGATGGGTAAGCTAAAACCACACCAGCACCATTGCTGCGGTGAGTTTGTTTTCACATCTGACCAATGAGTGGATCTGTGACGTGGGTCCAGTCGATGCAGTCCTGCAGCTCCAGCTGGTAATGTGATTGAATGTAGAGCAACAGGTGTTGGTAGAAACCCACACCGGCGATCAGGTGTGTTCTGTAGGCACACTCCAGGGCGCTGCGACTGTGGATATGCTGCAAAACGGAGAAAGAGACAGAACTTTAGAAAACATTTCTAGAACAATTATTTTATTATTCTTAAATCACAAATGAATCCAAAACTTGAGTGCGCACAATAAAAAATAAAAATAGGAAAAATAATCTCCAACCCCCATTTCCTGTATAAGCTGCAGAAAAGGCTCAGGTCATAAAAAGCCAAAAGGAAAAGTGTCTTCTACGTCACGGGGATAGAAGCTAGTCATTAGCAACTCCAAAACATGGTAGAACACTCAGGCTTGGGTCATTTGTGGAGAAATCAAGGTTGCACTTATTACCCAAGAAAAATAAATAAATAAATGTAAGTGAACGGAGGCAGCAGAGAGCCAATCAAAGGCCAGACATTTACATAGCATGAACATTAATGAGCATGACTCATTATCCTGCCTTTTCTTTTGTGGAGTTTTTGGAAACAACTAGGGATGTCCCAATAAAATGTTTACACTTCCGATACAAAACCAAAAATTGCAGCCTTCAGCACTGACCGATACCGATATCAATCTGATACAAAATCAGCACAAATCATACAGACTTATACCCATTTCATTGTGTAGAATGTATGACAGGCTTGATCAAGTGATATTACTCAATCGAAGAACAAGAGCCAGTAACAGTAAGTATAAAAAAATGACAATTTTTTTCTTAACCATGGGTTGCAAAAATGTGAACCTTAACAGACTTTTTATATCGGAGATTTTTGACGCCGTCCAGTGTAATCCGATCCAGTGTTTTTGATCGATATCGGGATGGGACATCCCTGGAAACAACTTTAAAAGTCACAGAGACTAGCTGTAGCTAAAATCTGGGACCGAATATTTTGTGATTTGTGTTGAGACATAATCTTACTTGAATCTCCTTCTAAAGCTGCAAAGTATAAAGAGACTCACACAAGCTACCGCAGAGACCGGTGTAACGGTCCAGCAGCATCTCCCGCTTCCGTTCTCATGCTCTTCTGTAGGTTTAATACCAAAACCTAAAAAACAGGATGTCCAGACAGACTCCTGAACCCTTCTCCTCAGGAACATCCACACACGACGCTCACCTCCGTTGACTCAGTGACGTAGGAGATGGATTTAATGTGACAAGACCGTTCAGACTGCAGTCGCTTTCAAAAACGTCAGATATGTGTCGGAATCAGTACCACATGTTCAAGTGACACGGATCGCATTTGAAAATAATTGGATCTGTGCGTTCAGACTGTCATAAAAAAAAATTCAGATGTGGGGAAAAAAGCAGATTTGATGCGCTTTTGCCAGCAGTGTGAATGTTGTCTTAGATACAACACCGGTCTCAGTCAGTCAGCTCTGTTGCGTTTAAAATGTTTATTTGTTCATTATACGGTGCACTACAGGTGCTGGTCATAAAGTTAGAATATGAAAAATTTATTTATTTCAGTAATTCATTTCAAAAAGTGAAACTTGTATATTAGATTAATTCATTACACAGACTGATTTGATATTTCAAATGTTTATTTTTAAAATTTTGATGATTATAACCGACAGCTAATGAAAATCCCAAATTCAGCTGCAAAACCCTTCAAATGGTCTCTCAGTCTACTTCTGTAGGCTACAGAATCATGGGCAGACTGCTGAGTTGACAGTTGTCCAAAAGACGACCAGTGACACCTTGCACGAGGAAGGTAAGACACAGAAGGTCATTGCTAAAGAGGCTGGCTGTTCAGAGCTCTGTGTCCAAGAACATTAGAAGAGAAGTGAAGGGAAGGAAAAGATGTGGTAGAAAAAAGTGTAACAGCAACAGAAATAACCACACCCTGGAGAGGATTGGTAAACAAAACCCATTCATTCACAAAGACTCACAAAGAGTGGCCACTCGCCTGACCATAACCCCATAGAAGATCTATGGAGTATTGTGAAGAGAAAGATGTAATACGCCAGACCCAACAATTCAGAAGAGCTGAAGACCACTAACAGAGGAACATGGGCTCTCGTAACACCTGATCAGTGCCACAGACTGATCCACTCCATGCCAAGCCACATTGCTGCAGTAATCCAGGCCAAAGGAGCCCCAATTAAATATTGAGTGCTGTACATGCTCATACTTTTCAGTTGGCCAACATTTCTTTTTTGCAATGGTCTTAATTGATATTCTAACATTCTGAGATACTGAACTAGTCAATTATAATCATCAAAATGACAGAAATATATCGGTATGTGTGTAATGAATGACTATAATACACAAGTTTGACTTTTTAAATGGAATTACTGAAAGTCGTCAACTTTGCCATTCTAATTTTATGACCAGCACCTGAAAAGTTTTAATTATGACTCCATGCTTACTGGTAGGACTTCCTGTTGTGAGCTCCTCGTAAACGGTCCGGATGCTGCACTTCACTCCCTCACTTTAGAGTCACACTAATTACATCAACATCTATTTTGAACATTTTAAACACTTATAATTATGTGCATCAAAAATAGTTTTAACACTTCTTACTCTGAAACAAAACAAAGTCCACATTCTTAGGGCTTGTTCTGTTTACCTTCTTGTTAGTCTTGATAACCTGGATGACCTCATAGTAGACCTTCCTCCACAGCAGCTCCTCAGCTTTGCGGCCGTAGTCCACAGGATGAAGAAACATTAATTTCACACAAAACTCCCTAAGCCTGAGAGAAAAAAGACACATGCAGTGGTTTAGGCAACAGCTGGAACACCGGTTTGACAGGTGGACTGAGTCAGCACCATGATAAAAGGGTGGAGCTGTGAGAAGACAGAAACACCACCTGACTGGGAGCTTCAGGTGAAACATGTTTGACACCCAGCAGTAAAACTAGAACCAGTTGTTTTAATATGTAATAAATACTAAGAAATCTACTAGATATCCAGGTACACATTCAAATTCATGATGAATCTAACTAAAATGTCAACATTTCAACTTTTTATGTTTTGAGAAGAGGTAGAGAAAAAATAAATACCAAAAATAAAATGGCCAGGGCTGCACGTAAAATACGTTTTGTACAATTTTAAAATATTTTTCTATTATCAATATTGATCAATATAATTTTTTTTATCGATATACTTTTTTCCTATATCACCTAGATCTAATATATATATAGATATATATCTATATATATTATTTTAGGGTTAAACAGGTCATTTAAAGCACCAGTTAGAGCTAATAGTAAATACTCTTGATAAAGGTGCATTCCGGTTGTCCTCGAAACTCATTTTTCCGAGATAAGTTAGCGGGAAATGAAGCAATGAACATGGAACTCAGAATTCCTAGCAAATTTAAAGATGGCTGCACCCAGTGCTACCAGGAAGTAGTTATCGTCTTTATTTTTTTCTCATTTATATGTTCAGTTTTCTTTCTCGGGATGATGGTGGCACAGGAGTTAAGTGCCCACCCCGTAATTGGAAGGTTGCAGGTTCGAGTCCCGCTCAGTTTGTCGCTGTCGTTGTGTCCTTGGGCAAGGCACTTAACCCACGTTGCCTGCTGGTGGTGGTCAGAGGGACCGGTGGCGCCAGTGCTCGGCAGCCTTGCCTCTGCCAGTGCGCCCCAGGGCAGCTGTGGCTACATTGTAGCTCATCCCCACCAGTGTGTGAATGTGTGTGTGAATGGGTGAATGACTGATTGTGTTGTAAAGCACCTTGAGGGGTTCCAGGAATTTGAAGGCGCTATATCAAATACAGGCCATTTACCATTTCTTTTTACTGTTTAACAGCACCGGTAAGTTGTTTATTGTTGTTATCAATAGTTACGCTGTTGAAAAATTAAACGTTGCTGCTAAAATTGACCAGTGTTCAGGGTTTTTACTTTTCCTGGCGTTTGTATTTTTACATTTGATTTGTAATGTTTTTCTGGTGGTATGTGGGAACTGACCAAGGGCGTGTGTGTCCCTATAATTTGGATGCAGAGAATACTTGATTATGTAATTCTTTTGGTTTAGTACTCAACAACACAGGTGGCATCCATTTATTCCGAGTTGGAAGCTAGAACGCAAAACGAGCTTGTTACGTCATTTCCTGCTTGCAAATTCCGAGTTCCGAGGACAACTGGAACGCACAAAAACCCTAAAGTAACAAGATCATCTTCACAGCTGTAGTAGTGAGGCTCTTGAGCTGGCCAAAACACTGGAGTTTTGTTACTTAAATACTTGTGTTGACATCATTAAAACGAATTGAAGTTTCCAACTTTTGCAGATGCTCCATAAAGTTTATGAATGTGATGTCATCACATGGCAACGCGGAGAAGACGCACAGAGAGAGATGAGGAGAAAAATGGCAGCTTGTGTACCAAGTGACTTGGTGTCCAGAAAGAACACAACTTCTGCAGTTTGGGAGTATTTGGGGTTTGAAGCAAATGATTAAGGAGAACTGTTTTGTGCAAGCAAAAGGTGACAGGGAAAGATACAGGCCCCGTCAGCACAGGAGCGAGCCGGAGATGAAATAGTAGCTTTCTGTTTAGAGCCTGTTATTAAAAGAGACAACAATGCTCTTTTCTGGTGGAAATATGCTGCCAGTCATCCCTAGATGTTGCGACTAGCCCCAAAGTACCCATTAGGGCTGCACAATATTAGGAAAACCTGCGATATTTGATAACAATGACTAACATTGCAATGACAATATTACTTGTGATAAAAACGTAACTTAAGAACAAAAATGATCAAGAACAAATTAATAAATAAATCATTAAAATGTAAAAGCAAAAGATGTGAGGAAAGGTGGAAAGAAAATAAACAAGAAAAGGCAATCAGTGGATCCCAGGAAAAGCAGAATCAGCAGGAAGAGCAGAACTAAGCTAACTCATGTGTTTGCTAACCATTAAAATTAAGTGACGTCCGCCTCGGAGGCGGGCATCTGACCTATGAGAACCCACCCATTTGGCCAAATGGGTGAAGAGCTCTATTTGATTTGTTAAAAAAACATCATGCCCCCGTTTGATTGACAGAATGCATCATATGTAGCAAACATTTGAGCTGACCATTCATTGCGATATTTATCCATCCCTTGCGATATACAAAATGTGCATGTTGATATCGCGATAACGATATATTTACGATATATTGTACAGCCCTAGTACCCATGGGTCTGTGCCACAAGCTCATCGAAGCCGGTTTTCAGCAGTCGGTTCACAACGTCCTACATCAAGGCCTGAATAGGTAAACATGCTAGTTTATTTTTATAAGCTGCATTTTTTTAAAATTGTTATTATTATGTGCATTATGTTGTTATTGTTTTAGGAATAGTGTTTGTTAATCAGTTTCTAAACGGTGAAGGTCCAAGCCAGCAGTCTGGTAATTCCACTTGAGGCTTACATAATCTTTTTTGAATTTGTCCCAGAAACACCTTACACCGTGGTAAAATGTGGAGGAAGTTGGATGGTATGAAACTTTGGATACCACCCAAGTCTACTGTTTTACTCACCTACATTTACACCCAGTTTTCTAAATACCCAGTTAATGCACATGCTACACAAACCATCTGCATGTCTTTGCAGCAAAAGCTGATCCCATAAGGACTAGGAATTCCAAGTTAGGAATCTCTTCAAGATATGAGAATACCAACTCATAACTATGGTATGATCTCAACAGGTACTATTTTTTTTTCATTTGACAAAAACAAGTTTTGTTCCTTTTTGTAAGCATTTAACGTGAGTATGGAACCGGAAGTTATTTTATTTCATGTCTGATTGAGGCAGAAAACGAAAAGTGGGCGGAGAAGCATAATGAATATCTCGGTCTATATCTGACAACCAGCTGGGCCAGAAGAATATGTCAAAAAGGTTTAACTAGGGTTACTGGGGTGGTGACAGAGCAGGACGTACTTGTTGCGCTGGCTGATGTTCTCCGGTTTGAAGACCTCTCTGTAGGATGATTTGGTGCCAATGATGCCATCCAGTCTGTGTACAGACTCCACTACAGATCTGGGAGGAAAACATGGGAATGACAACGGGGACAGTGGGTAAATTGTGTCAGGTAGTAAGTTTAAGAGCAAATAAACGTCTGGGCTGACCATGTTAAGTAGTAAAATTCCGTTTCACTTCAATACAAATCGTAAAAGCACCGCAGCTGAAGACCTAGCCTCTCCATTAAAGGAAACCCGACTCATTTGGATAGCTAATGGCATGCAGAGACTTTGAAGCACACACAATCGTTGTTTAGTATGCATCCGATATCAGTATTTAATAAGCATCATGTTGGTTATTTCAGTAAAAACGGCCTCGTCAACTTACCTGTAAAGCCGCTTGATGAGAAGGACTTTCGCCTCTGGTTCGCTGTCCTGCCCCGGTCCACTCATATTAGCGACAGGGCGGACGTTTGACCACAAGTTCCGGGGTTAAGTCACCGTTTCATTCGAGCCACCTGATACACAACTGTCACAGCTATTCGGGTTTGCCCCCTCGGTAGTGACACCCGTGTGTGTTGTGTTAGCCAGCTAGCACTAGCTACCAAGAAAACGTTAGCGTTTCTCCCACTTCCTCAAGAGTCTATTCCGTTTCTCGAGTCCTTTGGTGAAACCCCTTCTACCCATCCGCTCCGAGATCTGGGTAGGAAGGGGCTCCCGGTGACGTTCGCTTCTCCCGGTCAGCTAAAACACTCTAAAATGCCTCTTGTGTTCTTCTTCGTTCCGGCCATTATTCCTATCAGGCAGACTGCCTGATTCTCGCGAGAATAACAACGCTAATTTACGAGATTACACTGGGGTTGCCAAATCGGTCAAAAACCCTGCACTGAAGACGCCAAAACCACTTCAGAATTTTTAATATATATATATTTTTACTATTGTGATTAGATTTTTTCGACACTTTTGTTTTGCAATTTTGCGTTACAAGGTGATCCATCTTTACTGAAATTAGAAAGATACAGGTTTTTAAAAACGGTTTCAATGTTAGTTGATGTAAACAAAATACCATTTGAGTTAGTTGTATATCATTAGTACATCGTTAAAATACTAAAAGTATTCAAGCAAATACAAGATTACAACTTTTTAAAAACCTCAAAACCTTTTTGGGCTGAACCATTTTTTGCATTTAACACCTACTTGCTCGGTTGATGCCAAATTGTTTCTTGTGTTGCAAAAAATAAAATCAAGAAAGCAACGCTGATGCACATTATTTAATCAAAACTAATTGAGCACAATCAGGATGGGACAAATAAATATTGGCTACTTCCAATGATGTCATTAGTTTTGTTGAACGGGTCGAAAGAAAAAGTAGAAAACCCTGTACATGGAATTTTTAATAAATTTCCTTGCTTCAGCTCATCCAAACTAGACATAACTAGATTTTATTTAAGTATTAGGGTTTAAAACCACTTCTTTCTAGGAGCCAGTTTCAGGCAGTGTTAATATCCTTCGCCAATAGAGGTCAACAAAGACCATACACTGTTTTACACAAGAGGCATGACTAGACAGAAAAAGTTTGATTAAAAAAAGACAATAAAAGATAAGTATCATTATGTTATAAGCTGATGGAAAAGTGAAATTTTGTTCTTTTATTTGTATTGCTTCCTTTGCTTTAAAATAAACTTTGTGTGTAGATATGCAATAACATATTGCCATAATGCAATTTTATCCCTTTTTTGGGGAGAATTGTTGTGACTGGCATAATAATGATCAGCTGAGAACGCATAATCCAACTATTATTCTTTTGCTGCTGTTTCTTTCTGCTCTTTTTAAACTCAGGAGTTGCAGAATTCTCTGAGGAGCAGCAGACAATTAACTGTGGGAAAATGAACAAGCTTTCTCTATTTAGTCAAGACTCTGTTTCACTCAGCCTTCATACTGACAGTGTGAAGAAATAATCTGCTTCTCTCACCAAAGACCAGAACCACAGCTCTGTCCTGTGATGTGACCAAATAAATGTGAAAACTCACCTGTGTGGGACAAAAGATGTAGATCACCAGATGAGAAGCTTCTTAAATATCCTATATTATTTTTAATAATATAGTTATAATAAATAGCATTATTACAAATGGCCTAGTTATATTAGTAAAAATAAATAAATCTCACACACACAGATGAATAAAACTACTCATTCCAACTTCCTTCAAAGTGGTTTTCAAAAAAATAATTGTTTTAAGTGTCAATCACTGCCTCTTTGATAGTCAGCTTAGCTTTTAGCATTTAGCTTTTTGTCAGCAGGATCTTCTCAGGCAGCGTTGAAACACAACAGAGAGGGAGGAGAAGGGAAGTAGTTTCAGTTCAAAATCTTAATTTCTGCCAAATTTTGAATAAAAGATGCAAACTAAGCAGTACCGTTTTCTAATTTGTATAGACTAAACATAATGTGTTAAAAAGACAAAGTTATGATTTTTAAGCTGATTTCAGCTCAAGCTTTTTGTCAAATTGACTCCTTATAATGTCTGACTCCTTCATTGGTAACATTTAAAGTGTTACGCAACAATGCTTTTAGTTGAGAGACTAATAAAGATCAGGAGCATTGACTCTAAATATAAAATGAATGGTGCCTCTGTAATGTCACTGTAAGTTTCTGAAAAGCTGAACTGAAGCCCAGTGGGCAGTTCCCCTTACCGCCATCTTAGCTGCAACATGAGAGCGGGGCTGCCAGAGTGGGGGCAGAGAATTGGCACCCATCAAACTCGGAGCTGATAGCTATGAGTTAATTCGGCTGGGGGGGGGGGGGGGGGGGGGGGGAGATCTAGCCACTAGTGCTGATGGCTCAATTGGCACTTGTCAATCAAAAGGACACGCCCCTAATAATTCAGACTTTAAAGCTTTAAAGTGACAGTGTGTATTTTTCCTGGCGATAGGGGGCAGTAGATACCTAATATGTTGCAAGCAAGCAGTATTTTTGTGTTAGAGTGAAACTTACCAACGGATGGCCAGTAGGGTCAAAAAAGCCCCGGAGAGTGCAAACTTTAGCAAAATGACAAGAACATCAGACTCCCTTTCATCACTGACAACAAGTGAAGAGGTAAATGTGTAAAACAACAACATAGATGATGAAAGATTTGCAACCATTTGTCACAAATCAGTAAATTCATGTTGTCCTCATGGGCTCCCGAGGAAGGAAACATGGCATCTAACATGACGTCGCCCAGAGACTTTGACCCGCTCCCATGTATTTTAGACCTGATTTTTCTGGTTACATGTTACGAAGCCACCAATAATTTTCAACAACTGGGGGTAATTTAATTCGTTTTCAACATTTTGATGGACATTTCCAGAAATGAGTGGTGAAAACTACACACTGTCTTTTTAATTACATCTAAAATGATGAGTTACAAATTTCTGTTGTGAAGTTGGCATTTTAACATGGAAGTCAACAGGAACTTGCTCCTTTCTGGAACCAGCCCCTAGTGGATGAGGGCGGAACTACAATTTTTGTCACTTCTTTGTTGGTTTCACTTTTGGTAGGTGGCATTTCCTCCTTGATCAGGAAGAATTATAACAATTATAACTGATCATTAATTTCAAAAACCTGAATAAAATGTTCAATTTTGGCAAGATTAGGAAAAGACAACAAACATGAACAAAAAAAATTAATGAAACCAAACATTCCACAAATTAAGAATTCCATTATTTTTTATTTGTTCATTTACTTAGGTAATTCTATCTCCGCTGTCACCCACCCGAAAAATATAAATTTCGGTTATTCAAAAAAATAAAATAAAATAAAGAAAAGAAAAAAGAAAAAACAAAAAAAGAAAGAAAATGGTATCTTCATCAATCGCATCATAAGAATTAGTCAACAGAACCAGAGAGGCAATAATTATTGTCATTATTACAATAATAATTCAATTATCAGAATATCCACATTCATAACAAATCCATATACAACTGCAAAACACTCTTCAACACCACTCTTTCAATAATATACACAAAATTCCCAAATGTCTGTCCTGTCAAAACAACAATTAGAGGAGTTTGGGGAGGGGGGACGGGGGTTATGGCTTGTAAAAGGGGGTATGAAGATGAGCGACCAGCAGAGTGAATAGGTCTGTGGTTAGTTAGAGTAAGGAGGCACACTTATTTAGTTAAGACCTATACAAAAACAAGCACTAATAACAGTATAGTTTCATGGAAGTATTTGCCTGCATAAAACGGTTCGGTTCGACCACTCCATGAGAGGCAGAATTCGAGGAGCAAAAATTCTAAGGAACATACTTAAGGGGTTTCAGAATAAATGTATAACTCTGAATGACAATCATTGAGAAACATAAATTCTAGGAAGTAATACGGCAGAACTCAAATCAAGTTGAGAACGTTGAAATAAATACAAAGGATTCTGGAGAAAATAAAAGGTTTTAGTCTATAGTATATACAAACATTGCTTGGTCACCCAGATCTCTTTAGAAAAGCTTTTAGGTTGGTCAGAAAATGAGTGCAAGCTTAAGATTAAGTGAGTTGCTTCTTATTCAAGAGCCTTGAGAAAGCAGCTGTAAGTGACAGACCTTGCTGATATTCTAAGTCTGCACAGAAAGTGCCTCTGATAGCTGTCGATACATGTAAAAACCTCTCCATGCCTCAGTATTGGTAACTCTAGAAGACCTATTCATAGAAAGAGAGAGAAACATTAGAGGAAAAATAACTGTACACTCTGCATGTACAAACAAACAGTATATACACATAGACATCCCATATATACACATATATCCCAGTATATACACATAGATTTAGCCAGAACACACACATATGTACAAACACATTCACTCGGTTCAGCAAGACCTCTAACATGTCTCTCTCTGAGTCCTCGTTTCAGTCTCAAATGGCAGGTTTCAGATCAGATTGGTGTTGGCGGAGTCCATCCGTGGAAACGAATGAGGTGTTTTACAGCAATTGGAGTGCAGAAATATGGCCACACTGAAACCACGCGTCCGCCCCCTGCTTCGTTAAATCTCTAGTCAAAGTGAAGTAAATGTCCTTGTCCAACGACCTTTGCATCGTCCATCAATGGAGAGCTCCATGGCGATTGTTGGAGAACCTCTTCTCTGCATTTATTAAATGTATTTTTTAACAATTGAAGAGGAAACAGAGGGGCTGGTCACAGCAACGTGCAAACTGTTAGACAGTGGGGTGGGGTGGGGTGAGTAGGTGAAACACAAGCTTGTCCATCAGTCCTCTAGGACAACGCTTTTCTTCACAAGATTGTCTTATTGTGAAAATTCTGTTGATATAAAGCGGATTACTCCATTGGATCGAGGCATCTGTCATCAATAAATAAATATCTTCTCCAGAAGGTGTCTGATGACGAGTTTTGTTTTCCTTTGAAATACTATTGTAAGAATAATCCGCATCATCGTAGAAATATAAATACCGACATCCCCAAAAGTCTTCATTGAAGCAAGAGTTTTGTTCTTAAGCAGTTTTTGATTTAGGCTGTGCATATTTAGTTTCTTTCAAAGTAAAAGTCTGAAAAGGGATTCCAACGGAAGAGCTAAATCTAGAAAAAAATAAGACTAAATAAAGGGACGAGGATACTACATAAATAGAGTATAGCATAACAGAAAACAAAACGTAGTTTAAAATCAGTAATAAGAGAATCAGAGAATGAAATAAATGCTTTAAAAGTAAATCTGCTTTGACTGATTAAGAGAAGTCAAGCACCTTTGAAATCCACTTTCTAACCCTCTCTCTTGTTTGGAGCATTGCGCTGTCCGTGGCCTGTGAGGTTCCTTCATCCTGCTGATTGGTCGGACTGCATAGCTGTTCTTTGTATGCTCGACAGGCTTACCAACACCAAAACACATCCTTTAGTATTTGAAAAGCTGATCCAAACAACGAGGTTTCAAACACTTTTTAAAAAATCCTTTTTTTTTTAATCAGAGAGAGAGGGCTCAAGTAAAGTGGGTAAAAAAAAAATAATTAAAAAGCCCAGCATTTTCTTACATGATCCGCTGGGGGTTTGCACCATCCTTAGATAAAAGAGACTGGGACCAGTGGCCCAAGTTCTCCCTTTGTCAGCCAATCGCGTCACGAGAGAGGGCTCTGGACATTTGGCCATGCCACCCTGAAGACTGCCGATGGTGCATCACCCAATTAGGTTCCACATTGTCCTCCATGAAGCTGTGAGAGTGGCTAAAAGGGGAGAAGAAAAGGAGACAGAGAGAGAGAAGAAACGAGGGAGGGTGCTTGATCAGGTGCTGTTAAAGCATAGCTATCGAGTGAGAATCTGCACATGTGGCAGTCTCTTCAAAGCTGGACTCAGCCCATTTTTTTATGTGTTCAGCTCTGAGGCAACCACTTGTTTACCTGAGTCTCTGAGGTATTTTCACAGCAATGATAATTTGTCAATCAAGGATCATGTGACTTCACAGGAAAAAGAAAAGTAGCCCTACATGATGCCCCTGTGTTTAAACTGGGAGTGTCGTTAACATTTGGTGGTTTCAACAGTTAGACATTCACAGAATTCATGAATCTGAGATAATCTCCTACTGGCCTTTTTAAGGTTTCACTCAAATAAACAAGAGGAGTTTCTACAGGAACTCAAAACAGCTCTAGTTTAAAACGGCACCTTTAAACAAGTCATTCTTGTGTGAATCAAACACAAACAAATCCAGACAAACCTTCAAATGGACAGTTCACACACAAGACCAAAATAAAATATGCAAATGTGAGTCACAAACACTTCATAGACTTCTGTTTTAGCATTTAAAATATGCTACTGATGACGTCAGTTCAAACACACTTCAGAAATACTTCTAATATTACAGCATTAACAGGTTTTATTTGTTTATAACCTCTACGTAATATAAAAAAATGAATTAATCTCTTGAAATTAAGAAGCAAATAATCTAAAAACTAATCAATTTTTTTAAAAGGGGCATATTTATCATCTTTTTTAGTTAAAGCAAGGCTTTATAAGGTGCTTTTGGTATAATGTAGTTTGTCTAAATATATTTATCCCAGGCACTTGATGTTCTAAATGTTCTGTTTACACATAGAAAACATTTTATTAGTTACACTCCACTGAAAATATAGTAAATAGCATTCGTGCATGATCATAATAATGAGCTCATTGTTAGCTTTGATTTGCCCTTGCAGAAGCATTTTCAGTCTAAAGTAAAAGAGAATGAATTAGTTATTCTACTTCATGTCAATCAAAATAGATTCCTTTAGCATTTGTTACACGTTTAAAGTAAATGCCCTGTGCAAAAGGTGCTCCTTTTGTTCGTCTAGAGCCTGGGAGAAGTTTGCATTAGGTGTAAATAAAACCAGAGACAAGAAAACAACAACAACAACAACAAAATGAAACCACAAAAACTACCGTTGGACACATTGTTACAAGATGAACAAAACACAAAGAGAAGGACACGTCCGGAACATATCGAAGGGAGTTGGGGGTGTCCTGTCGGAGACAAACAGCAGGGACAGAGAAGACGGTGAGTGAACCATGACAGAGGCAGTGATATGGCAGACACACAGGAGAAAAAAAAAACAACAGAAAAACGGCACCATTTGTTTCTGTTTAGCACCAGTTTATCACCAATCGGTTCTGAGATTGAGAAGAGAAAAACTGCACGAGCTCAGTCCGAGAACAACTTAGCAACAGCAAAGAGACGTGTCCCACCGCTCCAACATCGGCCCATGTCTCACTCTAACAAAGGTAAAGTTGGGCATGTTTGTTTCTGTTCGTTGTTAAACCCTGTTAAAAACTCTCAAAGGCACTAAGTTAAAGCCAGAGCACATCAGTACATCTCCACCTAAACGCATCACAGCCCGGGTAACACCGGCGTCGTCAGCACATCAACGCATCTATGGGAGTCCACACTCGCTATAAGCCTCCTGGTTAATGGCTACGGAAGTCTTTGGGGTGTAAGAATGGGTCTGATTCACAGAGCAGGTGTTTACATGTCAGCTTGGTTTGATTCACAGATTCAGAGGATGTGATACGGTATCATTGTCCTGTCCTGCAAGACTGATACTATCTGAAGCTCCGTGTGAGCGTCAGGAAAGCATTGTCCATTAAAGAGCCCTTAGTGTTCTGTTAAGCACTATACAGTATGATCATTACTCCTCTCCCACACAGTGTTCTTCTCTCACTTGTCCCAGTGATGAAGATGCATAAAGCCTTTTGTTTGGCTTCTTTTTCCTTTTTATAAAAGAAAATAAATACAGGATATTTTTTATCCTTTGAGTCATCTCTCTCTGATTTGGCTCGTTGCTGTGTTTGACCTACTCCCCCTTTATTCAGATATGCCTGTAGTTGATGTTGCTGTGGTTCCAGTAGCCTGCGAGGTTGACATTTGGTTGCCATGGAGCTCTTCATTCTGACTAGGATGTTGATGAGGAGCGGGTAAGGAGGGATGGTCTACAGTTTGGCGTAGGACGCCATTGTGAGGCGAAGTGTCAGAGGAAGAGATTCTGTGGGCTTGATGGTTGGTTACCGCTCCTCCTTGTCCTCCTCCTCCCCCTCCACCTTCAGTTTTCACACCGGGGTCTGCAGAACCCAGGGAGGAAAGCTGGTCCTCCTAGCGAGATAGAAAAAGAAGGGAAGGGAAAGAGGGGTGGAGGCAGGGAGAAATGGTCGTAGAAGAGAGGCCATTCAATGAATAATGGGAGGGGTGTGAGGAATCGAAAGAAGACATGTCCAATCAAGGCATGTGCAGGAAATTGTGTCCGAGATTGAAGCAAGAACACACGGATAAAAAAGGGAAAACAAGCACGAGACCAGTGAAGTGAGGCAAGGTGGAAAACCATCAACGGCAAAAAGAAGAAAGAACAGGATGGAATGGATACATGTAAAAATATGGTAATAGCAAAAAATAAATAAGGAATCGTAAAGTAAAAGAGGTAAAAATGTGTTGGAGGAAGAGACACAGAGAGAGGAGAGAAAGAGCCAAATGAGTTACAAGGTCGAGGCGTGACGAACACCAACAGGAATGGCAGCAACGGGAAAAGGGACACAGAGAAAGAGAAGATGAAGGGGATTTAAAACTGTTGAAGGTCAAAGGATCCCGATCCAGAAGAACAGAGTGGTGCTGAGCCTGGAAGTCAGGTTTCTTAACAAGTGAGAACAAATCCACTGCTGTATTTCTTAATAATCTTAATTCTTCTTACATTACTATTGTGCTAACTTATTACTAAACTCATGCTGATTATTCAAGCCACATAGAGGCAGCATCAAGTTTAAAAAGCACGGAAGCAGAAAATAAAGTGTCACAGTAACCAACTAAAACCTCTTCAAACCAGAACTGCTGCATAGACGATTAGTGATTACTGACAGATTATATTTATTTCCTAAAAACTAGAAGTAAAACTTTAATTTAGCTATAATTTATGTCAAAGTCCCCTTGAAAACGAGTTTGATGTGTAAATGTTTGTTAACTTTTCTTCACCGGACCCAATAAGGACGAAGAACAAATAATAATTTAGATTCTTGTTTCTTCAGAAAACCAGTTTTTTAAATCTAGTACCTATCAAAATATTAACAGAGACTTTCTTTTTGACTGTTTTCTTTAAACATATCCAGATATGGAAAATGCACAGATCTGTCGAACTGCCAGCATTCCTTGAAGTTTTTCACTCAAACCCACTACAATAATGAAGAAATTGCAGTGCTATTAAAAAGCATTTAAAGGAACAATATGTAAGAATTTTACTGTGAAATAATCACAAAACAGTCTAATGTCTCAATCATGTTGGAAGTAAGGATGCATTGAAACAGGTTTCCTTTTCAGCTGGGTGGGGTGTTGTCAGTTTTCTTCTTTCAAAAAAAAAATAAAAATAACGTAAGAGGGATGTAGTTACAGTTTACATCTTGAGTCTGCTGAGTTGCAGAGCCTGCGTCGGCTAATGCTGCTGTGTCTGCACTTATAATTTGACACAGCTGGCAAATCTCAGCAGTGTTTTATAAAGATCCTAAGTCAGTAAGCCAGAATTTTTTTCTTGTACCCCTAAAGCTGGGTGGACACTGGAGGTGTCACATTGTTTGTTATCCAATAGCATGCAAAGACAGTTTGAAAGACAACCATACATCCCATACTCTGTATGACTCATCTTTGCTTTTTTTCCTGGCACTGAGCCGTAGCTGGCAACAGCTTTGAAACTCATGGGATGTTGTTGGAGGTCACCATTTATTTGGAAAATAGGTGCGGTAACCAAATTTACCAAAGGATGTCATTCCTACATCATTCACCTTTAATTTACGAAAGGAACAATTTTATTGTACCTTTAGGTAAAACTACAAGAAAGAAATAAACTCATTTGATGGGAGGGGAAACATCAACACAGAAGTCCAGTTTCCTTTTTTTCTGAACCTACGAAGCTGGGATTCATTTGTTAGCAGGTCCTCATTCTGTGGTGGACACCTCAGGTTTACATACATGCTCATATTTACATACAAGTGACATGATCAGCTGCAGTATGGGTGGAATGAAGCGCTGCAGAGAGGTGAAACAGGAAGGAGGAGGAATAGTTTTTATCAAAATGAATCAAAGGATTAAAAAGCAAATTATCACTGAATATATTTGTAGCCGATGGGTCTGTGGATGGGAGGAACTTCCACCTTACTTAAAAATGTAAAAAAGAAAACACAAACAAAAAACATAAAAATTTTCCCCAAAACTTTAAAAGACCTAGCGGGCCTTTTCTCTTCTCAACCAGAACCAAATGAACCAAAGCTGCTAACTGGTGCTACGAACCAAATCTACATGGTGACAGGATGCTTTTGTTGCTGCCAAACACGACCAGCGGTGCCATTTAATACCCATGTGTGGACCATAGCACATGTTTATTAAACGCAGAAATCAGGCAGGTGAACAAACACATGGCAAAAATGTTTACGGACATCGTCTTTGACTTACAGAGTTTGCCTCACTCTTTGCGGCTGCATCCAATTAGTTTGGTGTTTTTAGTTATGTTAGTTTTTATTTTAAATTTTAATAAAATTAGTAGTTTTCAGAGACTGGAACACATAACACTGAGTGGAGCACTGAAATGTCAAGGTGTGACACAGAATAAAATCTTACCCATTATCTCCAACTTGGATGTGAAAATTTGAAACAACCTGAAATCTTATCTTATGCCAGTTTTAGATAAAAACCTGGTGCAGATGTGCTGCATCGCTTCATATATGACAGCAAAAGACTAAAAACAATCACTATAAAGCACCTATAGCTCTCCAAGTATTCCTGACAGAAATCATAAAAATACCACTAAGAAATCAAACGACTAGAGTGTGAATGTTGCATACAGGCTGACGTACTACACCAACACACAGCACAAACACATAAATATCCAAACAGACTCACAAAGACACAGAAAACACACAGAAAACATTAATTAGTGTTCTTCAGGGAAAGATTGGGACAGATACGGAGATTTCACATAATTCCCGTTGTTGCGGTGGGAGGCGGGATGAAAACCTGAAGGCAGATGTTAGATGATGTGTTTAGGAAAGCAGAAATGAAAAAAAGGTTTATTTCAAGAAGTGTAACAAAATGGAGTGAATATATTATTACTTGCACACAGAAACGCTGACAAGAATAGTCACAATTTAAAGGCTCATGAGCGTCGACTCGACTGACACAGATCAGAGCCGGGTGCGTCGACAATGGCATGGTATCTTTCACCGCGGTGGACCAGCGAAGCCCGATATCCTCGGTCAGCTTACCTAGTTATGATTTCATTACTAAGCAAGCCAGAGGCGCCTTCACTTTGGAGCCACTTTACCACATTTTTCTTGCTAAAAGTGCCTGGAAAATTCTGTTAGCTTTTAGTGGGAGGCTAATGTCAGCTAATGTCCCACTGATCTCTGACCGTGGAGCATGAGCTGATGTAAAAGTCCAGGGTGCTTGGCTACAATCACAGCTCTGCTTGTAATTTAACAGTCCATATTAGATCTCCACAGGCCACCAGCATGACTACAGCCTCACGCGGAAGCCAGTCGGCTGTGCGGGTGGGCTACTCTGGTCCCTGGAGGCCTTCTTAGCTTCTTGGGTTAGCTAAATTAGCTAGTAGCTACATTGGTTCATTTGTTCCAACTGTGATCCAAATGTAACCGCCCCACCCTCAACTCCTCTTTTCCCATATTTGGACTGTTTGGGTGTGTTGAGACACGTGACACCGTCAAAAAATCAGTGGGGGGAACATCCCATTTTATAGGTGGGCTATGTCCATCTTTTTTATATGTTGATGATTAAACCCTGTTATTTTTTTTACCTCCTCCTGCTGGTAGGAAATAAACTCCTCCCTCATCACTCAAAGACAATGTTGAGCGATGGTGAAGCGAGAAGGAGCAGACCCACTGAAATAAAACAGCTTTGTGCTGAATTAGTCATCTCCATTCACACTGGATCTAAAAGTGAGTTAATCAACAGCTTTCTGTGTGTAACTGACAGAAGAACAAATTTAAGGTGTGACTGAATTCTGACAAAAACCTTAAAATAATCTGGTAAATAAAAAAAAATGTTTTTGAAGTTACTGCAGAGTGGATTATTTCTCAAGAAAACCAGGTTTTAATAAGATTCATCAGCATAATGTGTGCAAATTTGCTGTAACAGGCCTACTGGGATGACTGGGAAAGTAAAGAGCTGCAGTCAATGAGATCATACAGGGTGTTGCTTAGACAGGGGTGAACACAGAAAACAGCAGGAGTGGAAAAGAGGCAGCGGTGATGGATGGAGAGTGACAGTTTGCCGGCTTGGTTATTACCTGGACACTCGGGGTGGGACAGGCGCAAGTCGGGGCTGCACTAGGATGGACTGACGCCTCCCCTAAGAGAAATCACCGTATCTTATCAACATAGAAGGAGAGGTGAGGAGAGGACAGCTAAAAGAAGGAGGCAAAATAAGGAGGGGAAAGCTTGTGTGCAAAAGGGAAAGATTCAGAAGGGGCAGTGAGGAAAAACCAACAACCACCCAAACGTTACGAACACACGGCACAAACACAAAACAAGAACATGGAAAATCCTTCAGAGGACACAGAAATATAAAGGCAAACACACACTCTGTCAGAGAGCTGCAGCTTGGAAGCCGTAGAGCAGGGAGCCATGCAGTTCTTCTCATGCTTACAGTCAGAAACAACGCCGTGAAACCGTGCAACTCTAAAAACATCCGGATGTAAATAAAAATGGAAGTTTCTCCTCAGGGCTGAAAGTCGCATGTTTCCTGGTTCAGAGAGGTAGAAAGACACCGTGAAGATCATGCTTATATCAAACATGCAACTTTAAACAGCAGGGAAAATCCAGAAACACATTGAGGTTAAAAGAAATTAGTCACACAATTAATTACTCTTATTTTGGCTAAAGTTCACATAAACACGGATATCCAGACATAGATTTTCTATAATAAAAGCAGAAAAATTAAGTGGATGGATGTGATGAATATGACCAACTGTTTTTATCCAAAACTCAGGTTTTACAGCTGGAAGGAAACAAAAAGAAATCCCAATGGGGAAAATGTTTAAAAATATAAATATGTTTATGTGTAAACTGCATTAAATCAGTAGTCATATAAAAGTATTCAAATCAAGCGTTATAAAAACATTAATCAGTTTTGAAACTAATATTAAAACAAAAATATATTTGTTTTACACAATATTGATTAAAAAGTATTAAATGATGTTGCAGTTTTCTGTCTAATTTATGTCAAATTTTACAAATAACATCGCTTCATAGCCCTCATAAACAAAAAATGCTGAAACACCAAATTATGTTTTCCTTGATGTAGAAGTTTAAGGATTCTGTATAATTTTTAAATTGATTTCGGAAACTATATAATACTTTTTCTGTAGATTGATTCATTTTTTATATACGTCATTATTATCAGTTACATAAATAAAAGAATCAGCTGTCAGATAATGAGTGAGACGTGACTCTGATGA